AAGGTAAAAAAAAGATAACACCCACGTTCACTGAAGGTAAAAAAAGGATAACACCCACGTTCACTGAAGGTGAACTACCAACTTTCAATGAAGGTAGTAAGAGAATAACATCGATGTTCACTGACGATGAACTACCAACTTTCACTGAAGATAGAGAGAAAAGAAATATGGAACCGACATTCACTAACGGTGAACTACCAACATTCACTGAAGGTAGCAAAAAGATAACACCCACGTCATTGAAGGTGAACTACCAACTCTCACTGAAGGTAGTAAGAGAATATCATCGACGTTTACTGACGATGAACTACCAACTTTCACTGAAGGTAGAGAGAAAAGAAATATGGCACCGACGTTCACTGATGGTGAACTACCAACGTTCACTGAAGGTAGCAAAAAGATAACACCCACGTTCACTGAAGGTGAACTACCATCTTTCACTGGAGGTAGTAAGAGAATATCATCGATGTTCACTGACGATGAACTACCAATTTTCACTGAAGGTAGAGAGAAAAGAAATATAGCACCGACGTTCACTGACGATGAACTACCAACATTCACTGAAGGTAGAAAAAAGATAACACCCACGTTCACTGAAGGTGAACTACGAACTTTCACTGAAGGTAGTAAGAGAATATCATCGACGTTCACTGACGATGAACTACCAACTTTCACTGAAGGTAGAGGGGAAAAAAATATACCACTGGCGATCACTGACGGTGAACTACCAACGTTCACTGAAGGTAGCAAAAAGATAACACCCACGTTCACTGAAGGTGAACCACCAACTTTCACTGAAGGTAGTAAGAGAATATCATCGACGTTCACTGACGATGAACTACCAACTTTCACTGAAGGTAGAGAGAAAAGAAAACAATCACCAATGTTCACTGATGGTGAACTACCAACATTCACTGAAGGTAGAAAAAAGATAACACCCATGTTCACTGAAGATGAACTAACAACGTTCACTGATGTTAGAGAGAAAATATAATAATCACCAACGTTCACTGATGGTGAACTACCAACGTTCACTGAAGGTAGCAAAAAGATAACACCCACATTCACTGAAGGTGAACTACCAATGTTCACTGAAGGTAGAAGGAGAATAACACCTACGTTCACTGACGATGAACTACCAATGTTCACTGATGGTAGAGAGAAAAGATAATAATCACTAACGTTCACTGATGGTGAACTACCAACATTCAGTGAAGGTAGCAAAAAGATAACACCCACATTCACTGAAGGTGAACTACCAACGTTCACTGAAGGTAGAAGAAGAATAACACTGACGTTCACTGACGATGAACTACTAAAATTTACTGATGGTAGAGAGAAAATATAATAATCACCAACGTTCACTGATGGTGAACTACCAACGTTCACTAAAGGTAGAAAAAAGATAACACCGATGTTCACTGAAGGTGAACTACCAACGTTCACTGAAGGTAGAAGGAGAATAACACTGGCGTTCACTGATGATGAACTACCAACATTCACTGATGGTAGAGAGAAAAGATAATAATCACCAATGTTCATTGATGGTGAACTACCAACATTCACTGAAAGTAGAAAAAATATAACATCCACGTTCCCTGAAGGTGAACTACCAACATTCAATGAAGGTAGAAAGAGAATAAATTGTCAATAACAAGTTTCCCAAAATCATGGCATTTCACCTAGAACAAGTCTCAAATTATTCTTCAACCAACGCATTCCGCCTGGAAAGGGTAATATAGAAGTTGTCTCAAATAAAGAGACTAACACTTGTAAAGATTTCATAATGAATTGTCTCTGTCATATTGAAAAGACTTGCCATCCACTGGAGTAATTTTACAACGGACTGCAAACTATCCACCCATAGAGAAAATAAATAAAAAAGTAACGCCAACTTTTACAAGGAAGTATAAGTTGCTCAAATAAAGAGATCTGCTACTTGCTGTTATGGGAAGGATTGTAAAAATGACTTCCTGGGGAATGAATCATGACTTCCTGGGGAATGAATCATGACTTCCTGGTGAATGAATCATGACTTACTGAGGAAAGAAATATGACTTCCTGGGGAATGAAATACAACTTCCTGGGGAACGAAATACAACTTCCTGGGGAAATTCCAACATATTCCTACTGAGGAGGTAAAAGTCTTTTCGTGCCAGGATAAATGCACATTCTCAAACCAAGGCTTAAAGCTTGCATAAATCCAAAGTAATAATATTTCTAGGAACCAACGATTCAAACCATAATTAAACTGGAATAAAACAATCAAACAAAATACATCCTTTAAGAAATAAACTCAAGAGGGAAACCCAAATCATCCAGACAAAGAGCTGTACAGAAAGGCTAAAGCAAAAATCTTCCACGAGGGACAACTCAGTGGGGAAATTGAAAGAATATACACTTTCTGCTTAAGGTTGACACTCTATTGAGGAGAGGACAACACGACTCTGCAAAATAGGGTAATGCGTTAACAAAATATTAATGAATGCGAGTGAGCAATGATTTGCTAAATTCAACTATGTATGATGTATGTATGAATGTATGAGTGTTATTATGTATATGCTGGAAAAAAAGACATATACCATTGGGGATAAACAGACAAAACCAACTCGAGTACAATCAATACTCGGCTAAATCACATCCAAGATGAAAATTCCATAAGAAAATAAGCATCAATTGAGGAGACAAATTCCTACTTCATGGATTATCTTTACTTGGAAGGAACATAATCTGATAGTAATCACATCATAACACTAAATTAGTACAGATACATGGATATAACATCATCCTCCAGGCTTCAACAGGGAATACCACACATATTTCTATGGGGAAAACAAAAGTTTCACGGTCTGTACTTCTACTGGGGATTGCAATACTGATTTCAATGGGAAAATACCATACAGACTTCACTAAGGGAGATAGTGCCTCGTCATCAAGATACCTGTAGCGGTGAAAATCGGAGATCAAGCTATTAATTAACTTGACTCACAAAAGCAAGAGTCGCCACCGCACTTTATTATTTCCAAGGGAAAAGGGAAAAGAGCGAAATAAAACCCTAAAATACACAATGTATAATAATACTTAAAAGCAATGAAAATACAATGCGTTTTGAAAAGAGATCGAGAGTTCGGGGGTTGGTTATGCAATGGGAAGGTATTAGCACCCAATGCATCTGCGGTACTCCGCAGGAACCTTTTGAAATATCTGTTTTTTGGTTTAAAATTGTTTGTTTGATTAAAATGATTCGTTTGGCTAAAAGATGGGCATGGACGAGATTTTTGAAGATACGACGACCTAGTGTCGAAGTTTTGACTTAAAAGGTGTGAGTTTGAAAATGGAGTCTTTTGGGAAAATTATCTTAAGTTTGGAAAAATAGTAAACAAGCAAAAATGAATGAGGGTATTTGCACGATTGTAGAAGACGTATTTGATGACATGAAGTCAGTTGAGTTGAAAGATTTCCCTTGGAATTAAAACCATAGACGGATAAATAAGCTAAGAGTATATCAAACCTTAGGTGAAAATAAATCACAAGCCGACAGCATCATCAAAAAACCTAATGTGAGATAATACTCCAAGCATCAGATAAAGCGCAAAGGCGGTGGATAAAGCTCACAGTGTCAGATAAGAATCCCTGCATCACAAGAGATATACCGACAAAATCTAACAGCACAGGAAACTTATGTGCGTCCGCACAATTTTCAGAAGTTAGTTGGAATTAAAAATAAAATCACAATGCGATGAAAATAATATTTTCAAAACCTGAATTTATTTACAAGTAAAATATACAGTCAAAATATTATGTACAAGTATATATTTACAGTACCAAATATTAAATCAAAATAGTAAGGTAAAAAGGGAATAAAGAAAAAGTATAAATGCGCTATGCGAGAACGAACGCTTGAAACAGTTCTCGGAAACCTTCACAGTAAACAAACTTGTTAGTAGCATAAGAGATATAAAAATGAAATTGCAACAATTAAAACATGTGTTAGTAGTCACGAAGTATAAAAATAAAATCAAATGAAATTGCAACAAATAGAACATGTGTTGGTAATAACAAAGTATAAATCGAAATGAAATTGCATGAATGCATATGAATAATTCAAAAACCAAACAATCAATTATTCAAGTATTTCAATTCACAAATGAACTTAAACCAAAGAAACTCATGCTATTATTCAATCCAATATTCAAAACATGGAAAGTTGAACTCAAAGCGAACTAAAGTCAATCTAACCAAATCCGGGAAGCAACAAAGATTCATCACAATTAACTAACCATTAGCATAAACATGCTATTGTTTAACCAACAACACTAACAGCTCAGCTCAGATATCTAGCACAAATTAATAACAAATAGGAATAACAACGTCATCACATCCATTTTTACACAATTATTTCAAAACTCTACCATTTAAAAGAAAAGAAACACATCACCACTTCACTTTTCTTTTCTAATATTATCAATTCATTTGAACATCTCAAAAACCGATTCAAAAATCAAACACAACCAATCAAAATCATCATCAATTAGTGAAACAAGTATAAACCCTATTTATCTTCAACAGAGTTTCAACATTAATCCAATCATGTTAACAACAACACACCATATTAATTTCAATTCGACAATATTAAAAGGAAAGTGAGTTTACCAAAAGGAAATGAGGTGTTGTTGTTGTTTGAACAATAATGAAGAGAGTCCTACTGCATGAAGAAATGCGCAACAACGGAGGGAGGCTTCGGCCGGAAGACGCGAGGCAAACATTAGAGTGAGGAAGCTGCGATATCAGCCGCGGAAGTAGTGGTGGACGGTGTCGAAATTTGTTGAAGTCAGAAACTGAGCGGATTGTTATTGATGTATGAAACAGATGTGGAGGTAATGATGATGATTGAGCAGAAACAGAAGGAGCAGATGAGAAGTCGCTTTCCTGCTCATCTTTCGTACAATGCATGATTCTAACAACCCTATGTTTCAGACTATGACTCATGCGCCAAAGCTTTATTTTACTGCTACGGTTGAGGATGAAGCATTAATAACAGACGATGATGGGATACCGCAATGTCTTTGGTTTGGCGGTAGTGAAGGATTGGAAGACGCCTCCTGCCGGCGGGACTGACTTCTCATTTTCTTACTTTCTCCTTCCTGAATCTTGTCTAATGAAACTTGTCCAACCTTTGTTTCATTTAGGCTGGTTGGAAGCACGCAGTTGCATAGAAAACCAAGTCGAGCAAGTCTATTAACCCACCGCGGAATCGACTTCCCAGTTAATTTCACACAAACATCACTACAGAAATGGTTGAAATTCTTCTGTATAAGATGGTAGCTATTCCCAGCATACTCTTGAGACAGCTTTTCCATAAATCCCCGAACCTCGTTCGGTCCCAGATCCGTCGATCCAATATAAACTGCTTTCCTAAACGTGAATCCTGGACAGTGCCCAGGCTCCACTTCAAAAATTCCAGTAGTCTCACGTTCATGTGCTCCAAATCCATATTCAACCCCATGAACTTGAACACCAGAATGATAAACTCCCAGACCGAACCAATAAGCATAACCATTCATTGGGGTTAGATCGTAAACGTTGAGGTAAACCGGAACCGAACCGGGTTTTTCCTTCCGCGGCAACGGAACCAAATGACACAGCATTGTGAATACGAAATTACGAAAGTCTTCTTGAAAGGGTTTGTTAGGTTTGTTTTATGGAGTAGAGAAAGAGATAAGTGGTAGTATTACTACTGTTATATGTTTTTTGGTTTGTTTTGGTACATAAACACTGGATTGAGTTTTAGGTGTTACTACTACAAGGTTGTGTTGTGGATAGAAGGGTTGAGCGTTTGGATTGAGGTTAGAAACTTGTGGTTGCATTGTGATGGGATAGGGAATGGGAATGGGAATGGGAATGGAAGGTTGAGAGAAAGAGATTACTGTTAGATTTTTGTGTTGTTCCCCCCCTTGCAAAGAAAATAAGAGACCTTTAAATAGAACAATGAAGAGGAAAATTGACTTCAAGAATTGATCAGAACCGTTCAAAATCATTAATCCGCAAATTTAGTTATCAACCAATAGAAATATAGCAAGGTGTATTTAATTTTTTTTATGACAAAAACACCCTTAAATGATAAGATAACCAAAAGAACTAAATGTATTAAAATTAACTCAATTTAAAATGATTTTTTTGAATATTTTATGAATAAAAAATAAAGACCCAAAATGACCGAAAATGATCAAAAACGGACGAAAATTTATCCGAAAAAAATAAAATGAACACATTAAAATAATCTACATGTCACAAAGATTAAAGAAAAAAAATATTCAAGAAGTCAAAAAACCAAAAATAAAATAATAATAAAAATATCAGACTAAACAGACGTTTAAGGTTAAAAACGAGACTTCGAACTGTACCGAAAAAATAAAGCGAGCATACCGTCATAATCTACGCGAAGCGCAGATTCATAAAATGATCGGTAAAAGGTGAAAACTTGAAATATTCTCTCGCTACTTTCCCGCATAAGGTCGAATCGCTTTTAACAGTCTGTCTATAAAACCGAAATATTTTATTATCGACATATAAACAACTTGGAGCAGTGTAAGAAAATAGTAAACAGATAAAAATGAATGAAATGAAATGTCAGATATTTTACAACTGAAAGACAATGCAAACTTTGATTTAAACTGACTTTTTCTGGTCAACTTAAATATGACTAATGATGCAAAATGTGATGAATGAAGATATTTACTAATGATTGTGACCAAATGACAAAATATGGTATGAATGTGCGACTGAAACATATTAGGGGCGAAATTAAGGGTGCAGCGGTGTGCCTTGATGAATCAGTCTTCGAGAATCCATAATCAACCGTACTTTTGGCTTGGGAGACTCAAAACCTTAATTGAGGCGTGACACCTGATGCTCTTGATTTAGACCTATCTCTGCACATGAAACAAAAGAAAACATGAACATACACCTTTGTATGTGATTAGAAATTAGTGATACATAGGCTCAAAATGTTCAAAACACTTGACAATCTTCGCATAGTCAATGCTTGAAAGTGAGGAGTTAAAACCGACTGTATTTCGTAACCTTGACTTATCTTTAAAAATGCAAAAATAAAAATAGGATCTTAGGTCAAAAATTGGGGTACAACAGCTGCCCCTATTTAAGTTTCTTCTATCTGGAGATATGAAGATTGGGATCTTCATTTCAACGAGATTGAAGGGACTTAAAAATAGAATACACAATTTTTGGCCTTAAGATACCGCGATTATGTTCATGATATGATATGAATGTAATGCTCTGAATTTTATGGGTAATGACGCCATATGAGACAGACTATGCTGGAGAAACCAAGCACATTATACAGTAATCCCACAGGGGAACAAATTATAACACCACTGGGAAAACAAAGTCATAGACTGCAAATGAGAGACTCTTGAACGATTTACATCAGTATTGGGACTGGAAAAGGTAATGATTTACAACAATACTGTGACTGGAAAAGCATATGATTGACATCAGTACTGTGACTGGAAAACAAAATGATGGACATCAGTACTGAGACTGGAAAATGATTGACATCAGCACTGTGGCTGGAAAATAAAATGATTGACATCAGCACTGTGGCTGGAAAACAAAATGATGGACATCAGTACTGAGACTGGAAAATGATTGACATCAGCACTGTGGCTGGAAAACAAAATGATTGACATCAGCACTGTGGCTGGAAAACAAAATGATTGACATCAGCACTGTGGCTGGAAAACAAAATGATTGACATCAGCACTGTGGCTGGAAAACAAAATGATTGACATCAGCATTGTGGCTGGAAAACAAAATGATTGACATCAGCACTGTGGCTGGAGATAAACATCTCTGATTTCTGAATTTTACCAAGAACGGTAACACATTTCTTCTTTAACCAAGATATCGCTTGAAAAGGATAAAATAACAAACTTCCCCATAGGACTTTTCCGAAGGGATGCCATTTGCTGAGTAGGCATTATTGTTGGGGATACACAAGCTGCTCAAATAAAGAGGCCGCCACTTGCTCCCTTTCAAAGGTGTCAATAACATACAAGTTGCTCATGAAGAGACCGTCGCTTGCTATTTTTTTCAAATGTATCAATAACATACAAGTTGCTCATGAAGAGACTGCCGCTTGCTGTCTTCAAAGAATATTAAAGCACACAAGCTGCTCATGAAGAGTCCGCCACTTATTGCCAATAACCCACAAGCTGCTCATAAAGAAGCTGCCACTTGCTGTCTTCAAAGAATATTAAAACACACAAGCTGCTCATAAAGAGTCCGCCACTTGTTGCCAATAACCCACAAGCTGTTCATAAAGAAGCTGCCACTTGCCGTTTTCAAAAAAAGTGTTGATAACATACAAGTTGTCCATGAAGAGACTGCCGCTTGCTGTTTTCCAACAATAACACACAAGTTGCTCATGAAGAGACCGCCGCTTGCTGTTTTCTTTTCAAAATTACCAATAACACACAAGTTGCTCATGAAGAGACCGCCGCTTGTTGTTTTCTTTTCAAAATTACCAATAACACACAAGTTGCTCATGAAGAGTCCGCCGCTTGCTGTTTGTCAAGAGTATCCATAACACACAAGTTGCTCATGAAGAGACCGCCGCTTGCTGTTTGTCAAGAGTATCCATAACACACAAGTTGCCTCATGAAGAGACTGCCGCTTGCTGTTTGTCAAGAGTATCCATAACACACAAGTTGCCTCATGAAGAGACTGCCGCTTGTTGTTTCCCAAAAAGATACCCATAAAATATCGTGAAGATATTGCTGGAGGTGAGAACCAATAATTTCATCGGGGATGGACAAACTGCTCATGAAGAGACCGCCATTTGTCATAGAGAAATCAGAAATAATCAAACTGCTCAAATAAAGAGTCAGTCGCTTGTTGTCATGTCGATATTCCAGAAGAAGGTTGTGATAACACTGCTGGGGAATAAAGTTCATCTTCAATGGGGAACCATGAATAAATCCTTCTTGAGGAGACCAAGTATTTACATTGCAAAATAAATGCACTCTCCATCTAGGTTTCACAGCCTAGAGATATTCACAGGGTATCGTTCACAAGAGACAAAACTCAATCCAGGAATAAACTGGAGAGAAAAACAGTCAAACAAGACTCCACCCAATGAGGAAATAACTCAAATGGGGATTTATCCTATCCAGAGATGGAAAAGGAAAGCTAAAGCAAGATTCTTCCACGAGAGTTAACTCAGTGGGGAATTAGAAAGAAGGCACACTTTATCCTTAAGTCGACACTCTATTTGGAAAGATCAAATATGTTATTTGAATAGACATAACCAAGGTGTACGAACTCAATGACATCAACAAATACAACTGTGCATGCATGATGCAAGTGTGAATGAATAAATGAATGTCATGTATATGCTGACAAAACTGACAGGGGGAGATAGACTGAAGATGATAAGACGTCATAGTACAGCTCGACACTCGGCTAATCTCAACAGGATGGTAACATTACTGGAGATAGAAAACAAAAGCCATCATTGGAGCAAAGTCCTTTTACAAGGCTTAAATCTCTTTGGAGAGGAAGATATTTTCAAGTAGAAAACCCAAAGTCCAGTCTTCAATTGTCGACAATCCATTGAAAGGATAACAACACAAACAAAGTTTCAGCTGGAAAAAGTCATGCTTAGCTGGTGATACTGGGAACACCACCCTCTGATAATGTATGAAAAACATATCTTGACAAATCTGGATTACCCCTGAGATTAATTTTGGATGCCCCAAGTTTACTGCTGATAAGCTGCGTGATGCACGACAATTCTTGTGAATAGCTTCACTTCTAACATGCCCTAAGCTATCTGGTTGATGAGGAGAAATCGTCTCAAGAGGATTTTACAAAAGACCTGGCATTCACCATGCTCTGGTGTCTTCAAACTCTTAGAGGAATTCATCAAATCTCGACGTGATTGCCCCGGATTGACTGTAGTTGGCACAACAAAGTCTTCAACTTTTGCCCCAATAAAGGGTAAACAAGTTGGGAAAGCATTAACTGGGAGAAGCAACATGTTCGTGCTTACGATCTTCAGGTGACATGCCCATGGATATGATTTTTTCTTGACGTGATCCGCCAATTACTCAACATAGTTTCAGGCCTTAAAAGAATAAAACTCATCACTAGTGCTTATGTGAGCTTCCTTGATATCAAACAAATGTTTTGCAGTTAGAAAAAGTTTACAATGAGAATGAAAATTCTAATGCAACAGTTATGTAAGTCTTGAAGATTTTGAAAGATATCGCACAAATTTTGCGAGTTAAAGCACCATTTATTTTTGTATAGGAAAAACATATGATACCAACATAACTATTTAGAACATTCATAGGAGTCAGGAACACTATCTCATTGAAGTATGCTTTCAAAATAACCTTGCTTCAATTAGGACTTTTGAAGGTTGTAATGTGGTCTGGTTCATGGTTTTAGAAAAAAAAAGATTTAAGGCTCAAAATATTTGGTGCCCACCCATTCTTCATGATGTTCTCCAACCCTATGTTCAGTTAATTCAACATGAGCGTTCATCTCTCAAAAGGATTTTGTGACGGTTAAGGAAACGACGAGGCTTTCGGAGTAGAAACCACCCTCATGTCTTCGTGTTTGTAGTCACCAATTTGTTCTTTGCTGAGGACTTTTCTTTGCAGTCCTTTTCTTTGCAATTTTTATTTTCCCTGACTTTTGCCTGAACTAATTCTTTTGAATTGATAGTCCAGCGGGATGCCTTAATTTTTCCTAAGTCACACGTTTTCATGTTTTTTTTTACTTAGCAGGCTTTTCTTTTTCTTGATTTTTGACTTTTTGAACAAAATGTGTGACATTAGCTTGTCTTTGCTTGTTGAGAGGATTGTGATTGCCTCGTTTCTTGATGGATGAGGGATAACATTGTGGTTCCACATCTTTTGGCTTCATTATACATGAAGGATAGCCCTCGTAGTTTCTCTTCAAAAAACATCTTCCTTATGAATTTTGAACACTCAGTCAGATTAACTAAAAACTACCCTGCCCCAGGTTAAAATTCAAGGTTTTTTCGTATAGAAAAGAAACTTCTGCTTCAAAGGCTCAAAAGGGGTTAGCAAGGGATTATCTTCCTTATATCTCTGGTGTTTAGGGATTTGAAACAATGCCTGTACATCATCATCAAGATTTTATCCAAAACCAAACAACCAGAGATTTTGTGTTCTTTAGATCATCATCCTCCCTTCAATCTCTGCCTAGGCAAGAGAATGAGCAACAAGTTGGTATCATAATGCCAAAAGAAATTTAAAATTTGAAAACAAACATGAGTGAAACGAATGAATTTCTTCAAGACAAACATACTCATTGTATTAAGATAATCATACAGATGCAAACAAGTTCTTACATGCAAACAATGTTTTGATAAACAAGAAAAATTACAAAAAGCATAAATAAGTTAATGACCGGGGAAGGCTTTCCATCTGGACTTGAATCACTGAAAACATCTTTCAAAACTCAAAGTGACCATCAATCGTGTTTACTCTTCGGCACGTGCTTGTTTTGAACTTCAAAACCAACGTCCTTGAATGACAAGATACCACTTCTAACTTCCCAATGTCCCTTGAGGTCAGATGCTTGTAGGTGTAGTGCTTTAGCAATCTCTTCAAGTTTGGGTTCCTTTTCCGTACCGTTGTAGGGTAGTTGATCAAGGATAGGGATCTTCAGAAGCCGGGAGAACTCCTCCAATGTAGGTACCAGCTGATAATCCAAGAAAGTGAAACAGTGATGCAGAGGGTCAAAGAACTGGAACAAGACCTTTATCATATCTTCCTCAATGTTGGTGTTGACCAAGCTGATGAGTCTTCCATGTCTCTCACTGGAAGAAGAGCTCTCGGGAATCTGACCAACTTCTGAACCTCAATCTTCAAAGCAAAGCAACCCTCCAAGTCATGCACAGGAGCACCTTGATGAAAAGTACAAGCCAAATCAGCTTTGTAGTACCAATGTATCTTCTCAGGAACCTTCGGTGGAGGTCGGGTCTGAACCAACTTTCTCTGCATCAGGATAGGGAACAACTCTGTATAGGTGATTGGAATTGGATCAAATTGAGTTTTCCTCTGATTAGGAACTTACTAATTCTGTCGATAAATGGGAGAAACATGATGATTCTGATGATGATTATTTCTTCCTCTGGTTCTCTTCTTGGAAATTTTATTATCAAACTTCTTCACACCATTAGCTGAGCTACCATATTCATATAAACATCCCTTTCCGACATCTTCTTCTAAACGCACTCCCACATTCACCTTGTCAGGAAAGTCACTAGGCGCGTTAATTATCATCTTCTCTTGATTTCAGAGTTTCAGTGAAGACTTTTATCCTCGCCTCGTCCCTCCTAGAAGGATTGACTTGGGAGGCAACCAAAATTTCAACCAAACCAGTTAGGTGCTCCATACTAGCTTTCAAAATAGTCATCTCTCTACGGAGTTCAGAAACCTCTTGCTTGATATTCTCCATTGCTCTCTTAGCGCGAGTGTTGTACTGGTGAGACCAAAGGAAAAAATAAGACTCGGAAAAATACCTTTGAAAATGAAACAAAAAATGTAGAATGATGTATGATATGCAAAAGAGAGTTTTTATTTGATTTTCAAGGAACTCAAGATATTAAGTTGTAAACATCAAAGTATGAAGATAGAAGATGAATTTTAAATTGGCTTCAAACATTGATCAAGTTATCATCAAGATCAATCATCCATTTTGGTGGATTAGGGTTTTCTCCCTATCAACACCCAAGATCCATTGAGCTTGACGAAACTTGTGATGTTTACAAAGAAAGACCTCCAAATTCCTTCAAAGTCAAGTGAAAAGGATTTTATGGATGCATGAATGCATGGCTATGTAACAACCACAAGCAATGTCACAAATAAAGTCGAAAGGTTCAACGTCACGAGCATGGAGTCATGGTAAGGAACACCCCCAAGGTATGTACTAACGGCTTAATCACACCTGTAGAACAAGGTTCTAAGAGTTCCCGGAGTCTACATTCCTCCTTCGGATATTACCAATGTCTTAATTACTCAATAATCAGCAATATTCTCAAGAGAAACTCATCCGAGCGTAACATCGCGTAACAATTACTTCCGGATTACTCCGTTATAATCTCCGCGCTACACCTAAAAGGCCAAGATGGGTTAGGGTTCTACGGTTCCCAGCTTCTCTGGCTCTCAGGTCGAAAATAATAATGTCTTCCCGATTACTCGGTAAACAAATATTACGTTCAAAAGGGCCTTCCACTGAGTGGGGGATCTCATGCCTCCTTCGTCGGGATTACTCCCTCAAAGTTAACATGACTATACCGCCCGTCCTATTCCTAAGTGTAACTTAGTCCGGGTATAGGACTTGTCCTTTGCAAAAACCCCAAATAACCACAATATATCACAATTAATCAAACAAACAAGTAATAATAACAAAAACAAATATGACAAATTAGGCTTAACCCACTTTAGGGATGGACCAGCAAGAGGTCAATCTTTCCCCAGCAGAGTCGCCAATTCTGTAGCGGTGAAAATCGGAGATCAAGCTATTAATTAACTTGACTCACAAAAGCAAGAGTCGCCACCGCGCTTTATTATTTCCAAGGGAAAAGGGAAAAGAGCGAAATAAAACCCTAAAATACGCAATGTATAATAATACTTAAAAGTAATGAAAATACAATGCGTTTTGAAAAGAGATCGAGAGTTCGGGGGTTGGTTATGCAATGGGAAGGTATTAGCATCCAATGCATCTGCGGTACTCCACAGGAACCTTTTGAAATATCTGTTTTTTGGTTTAAAATTGTTTGTTTGATTAAAATGATTCGTTTGGCTAAAAGATGGGCATGGACGAGATTTTTGAAGATACGACGACCTAGTGTCGAAGTTTTGACTTAAAAGGTGTGAGTTTGAAAATGGAGTCTTTTGGGAAAATTATCTTAAGTTTGGAAAAATAGTAAACAAGCAAAAATGAATGAGGGTATTCGCACGATTGTAGAAGACGTATTTGATGACATGAAGTCAGTTGAGTTGAAAGATTTCCCTTGGAATTAAAACCATAGACGGATAAATAAGCTAAGAGTATATCAAACCTTAGGTGAAAATAAATCACAAGCCGACAGTATCATCAAAAAACCTAATGTGAGATAATACTCCAAGCATCAGATAAAGCGCAAAGGCGGTGGATAAAGCTCACAGTGTCAGATAAGAATCCCTGCATCACAAGAGATATACCGACAAAATCTAACAGCACGGGAAACTTATGTGCGTCCGCACAATTTTCAGAAGTTAGTTGGAATTAAAAATAAAATCACAATGCGATGAAAATAATATTTTCAAAACCTGAATTTATTTACAAGTAAAATATACAGTCAAAATATTATGTACAAGTATATATTTACAGTACCAAATATTAAATCAAAATAGTAAGGTAAAAAGGGAATAAAGAAAAAGTATAAATGCGCTATGCGTGAACGAACGCTTGAAACAGTTCTCGGAAACCTTCACAGTAAACAAACTTGTTAGTAGCATAAGAGATATAAAAATAAAATTGCAACAATTAAAACATGTGTTAGTAGTCACGAAGTATAAAAATAAAATCAAATGAAATTGCAACATATAGAACATGTGTTGGTAATAACAAAGTATAAATCGAAATGAAATTGCATGAATGCATATGAATAATTCAAAAACCAAACAATCAATTATTCAAGTATTTCAATTCACAAATGAACTAAAACAAAAGAAACTCATGCTATTATTCAATCCAATATTCAAAATATGGAAAGTTGAGCTCAAAGCGAACTAAAGTCAATCTAACCAAATCCGGGAAGCAACAAAAATTCATCACAATTAACTAACCATTAGCATAAACATGCTATTGTTTAACCAACAACACTAACAGCTCAGCTCAGATATCTAGCACAAATTAATAACAAATAGGAATAACAATGTCATCACATCCATTTTTACACAATTATTTCAAAACTCTACCATTTAAAAGAAAAGAAACACATCACCACTTCACTTTTCTTTTCTAATATTATCAATTCATTTGAACATCTCAAAAACCGATTCAAAAATCAAACACAACCAATCAAAATCATCATCAATTAGTGAAACAAGTATAAACCCCATTTATCTTCAACAGAGTTTCAACATTAATCCAATCATGTTAACAACAACACACCATATTAATTTCAATTCGACAATATTAAAAGGAAAGTGAGTTTACCAAAAGGAAATGAGGTGTTGTTGTTGTTTGAACAATAATGAAGAGAGTGCTACTGCATGAAGAAATGCGCAACAACGGAGGGAGGCTTCAGCCGGAAGACGCGAGGCAAACATCAGACTGAGGAAGCTGCGATATCAGCCGCAGAAGTAGTGGTGGACGGTGTCGAAATTTGTTGAAGTCAGAAGCTGAGCGGATTGTTGTTGATGGAAGAAACAGATGTGGAGGTAATGATGGTGATTGAGCAGAAATAGAAGGAGCAGATGAGAAGTCGCTTTCCTGCTCATCTTTCGTACAATGCATGATTCTAACAACCCTATGCTTCAGACTCTGACTCATGCGCCAAAGCTTTATTTTACTGCTATGGTTGAGGATGAAGCATTAATAACAGACGATGATGGGATACCGCAATGTCTTTGGTTTGGCGGTAGTGAAGGATTGGAAGACGCCTCCTGCCGGCGGGACTGACTTCTCATTTTCTTACTTTCTCCTTCCTGAATCTTGTCTAATGAAACTTGTCCAACCTTTGTTTCATTTAGGCTGGTTGGAAGCACGCAGTTGCATAGAAAACCAAGTCAAGCAAGTCTAATAACCCACCGCGGAATCGACTTCCCAGTTAATTTCACACAAACATCACTACAGAAATGGTTGCAATTCTTCTGTATAAGATGGTAGTTATTCCCAGCATACTCTTGAGACAGCTTTTCCATAAATCCCCGAACCTCGTTCGGTCCCAGATCCGTCGATCCAATATAAATTGCTTTCCTAAACGTAAATCCTGGACAGTGCCCAGGCTGCACTTCAAAAATTCCAGTAGTCTCACGTTCATGTGCTCCAAATCCATATTCAACCCCATGAACTTGAACACCAGAATGATAAACTCCAAGACCGAACCAATAAGCATAACCATTCATTGGGGTTAGATCGTAAACGTTGAGGTAAACCAGAACCGAACCGGGTTTTTCCTTCCGCGGCAACGGAACCAAATGACACAGCATTGTGAATACGAAATTACGAAAGTCTTCTTGAAAGGGTTTGTTAGGTTTGTTTTATGGAGTAGAGAAAGAGATAAGTGGTAGTATTACTACTGTTATATGTTTTTCGGTTTGTTTTGGTACATAAACACTGGATTGAGTTTTAGGTGTTACTACTACAAGGTTGTGTTGTGGATAGAAGGGTTGAGCGTTTGGATTGAGGTTAGAAACTTGTGGTTGCATTGTGATGGGATAGGGAATGGGAATGGGAATGGGAATGGAAGGTTGAGAGAAAGAGATTATTGTTAGATTTTTGTGTTGTTTCCCCCCATTGCAAAGAAAATAAGAGACCTTTAAATAGAACAATGAAGAGGAAAATTGACTTCAAGAATTGATCAGAACCGTTCAAAATCATTAATCCACAAATTTAGTTATCAACCAATAGAAATAGAGTAAGGTGTATTTAATTTTTTTTATGACAAAAACGCCCTTAAATGATAAGATAACCAAAAGAACTAAATGTATTAAAATTAACTCAATTTAAAATGATTTTTTTGAATATTTTATGAATAAAAAATAAAGACCCAAAATGACCGAAAATGATAAAAAACGGACGAAAATTTATCCGAAAAAAATAAAATGAACACATTAAAATAATCTACATGTCATAAAGATTAAAGAAAAAAATATTCAAGAAGTCAAAAAATCAAAAATAAAATAATAATAAAAATATCAGACTAAACAGACGTTTAAGGTTAAAAACGAGACTTCGAACTGTACCAAAAAAATAAAGCGAGCATACCGTCATAATCTACGCGAAGCGCAGATTCATAAAATGATCGATAAAAGGTGAAAACTTGAAATATTATCTCGCTACTTTCCCGCATAGGGTCGAATCGCTTTTAACAGTATGTCTATAAAACCGAAATATTTTATTATCGACATATAAACAACTTGGAGCAGTGCAAGAAAATAGTAAACAGATAAAAATGAATGAAATTAAATGTCAGGTATTTTACAACTGAAAGACAATGCAAACTTTGATTTAAACTGACTTTTTCTGGTCAACTTAAATACGACTAATGATGCAAAATGTGATGAATGAAGATATTTACTAATGATTGTGACCAAATGACAAAATATGGTATGAATGTGCGACTGAAACATATTAGGGGCGAAATTAAGGGTGCAACGGTGTGCCTTGATGAATCAGTCTTCGAGAATCCATAATCAACCGTACTTTTGGCTTGGGAGACTCAAAACCTTAATTGAGGCGTGACACCTGATGCGCTTGATTCAGACCTGTCTCTGCACATGAAACAAAAGAAAACATGAACATACACCTTTGTATGCGATTAGAAATTAGTGATACATACGCTCAAAATGTTCAAAACACTTGACAATCTTCGCATAGTCAATGCTTGTAAGTGAGGGGTTAAAACCGACTGTATTCGTGACCTTGACTTATCTTTAAAAATGCAAAAATAAAAATAGGATCTTAGGTCAAAAATTGGGGTACAACAATACCAACTGGAAACCTCGTGTTGACTTCATTGGGGAGGACAACACCACACCGTCGAGGGGAAACCAAGATACATTCTTCAATAGTGAGAGTTAGTATTGCATCAACTTTTCTAGGGAGAAAGTATGAAACTTCACGGGGATTACAACTTGGGGAGTTAAGAAGTCAAACAATACAGCAAGAAATCAATCTTGTGGGGATTTTAAATCAAACCCAGCAATTTGCAGATGAAAACCCTAAAAGTTGACAAATGTCTCAACACTTCTTAAATAAAACATTGCCCTTGCCAGATTATCGGGTAATCAAAGAAAATGCAAGTACTGCCGAAAGGGAGATACTTCGCTAATGAGTCAAACTCAACATGCACGGGGAGAAAAGACTTTTATCAAATAAGCCAGGCCTTCACTAGGGAATCTTGGATTGAGTCTTCATATCATGCAAACTTATTCCAGTAAGAGATGCCTTGGGATAGCCTTCCTAGGGAATCAAGAAGTCAAAATTATAGAAAGAGGTCAAACTCATGGGGATTTTAAATCAAACCCAACACTTGGCGGGTGAAAACCCAAAAAGTCGATAAATATTTCAAAAGTTAGAAAAGATATTGCCTTGGTCTAGTAACTTGGGAAATGAATACCGATAATAATGCCAATATTTCCAAAAAGAATGACGTTTTGCAAATAGTTCCATCTCAGCACACCAAGGGAACAAGACCTTTCGTCATATGAGGGAAGACTTCACTATGGAATTTGGGATAGAGGCCTCAGACCATGCAAACCCAAAATAAAAAATGAACCAAGACTTGACTGGGGACAATGGGATCATAAACCCAATACTACACCTTATGCCAATTGGTATCGTCTTTAATATACAAAAATCATGTGCGTACCAGCGAAAATGACCCGAGGAAACCTTCTTGGGGGAAACAAAACATCCCAAAATTACTGGAGGTCGTCCATTCCTGGGATCACCACTTTTGTTTTCCTCTTGAATCATAAAATTTAGAGTAAAAGTAAGTTGTAAATTCTTTTTGAAAAATAACTTTGTTATTTAATCTTTTTGCTTTGAAAATTATTATCAATAATAAATGGAGTCTTTATAAGCTGAATAAAATAAGAATTATAAAGAATTGGGTAAAAGCTCAAATTTTATTAATAGAATGGTAGTCTGTGAATGGCCAGACTCCACGGATGATTTCAAAGTTCAGAAAATGGTAATATATAATGGAAAAGATACATTGAGATACAATGACCACTATTCCCTCTAAAAACTTTAAATTCTGCGCAGCATCTTCAGTTGAAGTATTGTGAGGATCCAAGAAGATTGTTTCTTCAATGATAAAGTATTTCCTGATGTAGTTACTTGCCAAGAAAGTCCCTAACTTTTGTCTAAGATGCACTTGCGGGTTTTCAACTTAGCGGGAAATTTTATTCTGTTTATGTCTCTAATTTTTGCCTAGACCGCCCTTTCTGGTTTTCGGCCTACCGAGACGCTCCTTTTTGCCTAAGCCTCCCTTTCGAGTTTTCAACTTAGCGAGTTGTTCTTTTATTTCTTAAGGCGAAGTATTTCTTGACTGTATCAGCATTCAAGGGGCGTGGGAACTCCTCGTCCTCCATAGTTTCAAGAATTAATGCACCGCCAGAGAAGGCTTTCTTGACAACATATGGGCCTTCAAAATTGGGAGTCCACATGCCCCTAGAATCAATGTTAAAATACATGATCTTCTTGAGCACGAGGTCGCCTTCTCTGAATTCAAGAGGTTTGACCTTCTTATCAAAAGCTTTCTTCATTCTCTTATGATATAACTGCCCATGACACAAAGTCGTCATTCTCTTCTCTTCGATCAAATTCAATTGGCCAAACCTATTCTAGACCCATTCAGCCTCTAACAACTTGTTTTCCATTATCACACGCAAAGAGGGAATCTCAACCTCGATTGAGAGCATCGCTTCCATTCTATACACAAGGGAGAATGAGGTTGCTTCTGTTGAAGTGCGGACAGATGTCTGATATCCATGTAAAGCAAAATGGAGCATTTCATGCCAACCTTTATAAGTAACAACCATCTTCTGGATGATCTTCTTGATATTCTTATTAGCAGCTTCAACATCCCCATTCATCTTTCGCCTATACGGAGATGAATTGTGATGGACAATCTTGAATTCTTCATAATGTTATGTCATCATCTCGTTGTTCAGTTTCGAGCCATTATCGGTGACAATTCTTCTCAGCACACCATACCAACATATAAGATTATTCTTAATGAAGCACACTACAACCTGCTTAGTAACATTAGCATATGAAGCATCTTTCACCCATTTAGTGAAGTAATCAATTGGTACCAAGATAAAATGATGTCCAATCGAAGCTATGGGTTCTATCATTCCAATCATGTTAATACCCCACATAGAGAAAGGCCACGGGGAAGAAATAACATTGAGAAGTGTTAGAGGCACATGAATTTTGTCTGCATAAATCTGGCATTTATGGCACTTCTTTGCAAATCTGTAACAGTCAGATTCCATTGTCAGACAATAGTAACCTGCCCTTAGCATCTTTTTAGCCATCGAATGTCCATTGGCATGAGTGACAAATGAACCTTCATGAACTCATGCATCAACATGTCTACTTCGTGTCTATCCATGTATCTGAGTAAGACCATGTCATAATTTCTCTTGTACAACATATTTTCACTGAGGAAGAAGCTGCCAACCAATCTTCTCAATGTCTTTCTATCTTTATTCGATGCACCAATCGGGTATTCCTAAGTCTGGAGAAAATGCTTGATATCATAATACCAAGGTTTCTCATCGGCTACCTCTTCTGTTATAAACATATGAGCAGGCCTATCCAGTTGCCGAACTATAATTCGAGGTATATCATTCCAAGTATTCACTTGATACATAGAAGCCAAAGTTGCCAGAGCATCCGCCATTTGATTTTCGTCTCTGTGGATGTGATGGAATTCAACTTTAGTAAAGAAGCGTAACAATCTTCTAGCATAATATTTGTAAGGGATCAAGCCAGGGTGACGAGTATCCCATTCTCCTTTAATATGATTTATTACCAAAGCTAAATTGCCATACACATAAAGAATTTTAATTCTGAGATCAATAGCTTCCTCGAGACCCATGATGCAAGCCTCATATTCTGCAATTTTATTAGTATAATCAAATGTCAACCTTGCAATAAAAGGAATGTGTGATCCATGTGGAGTGACAATCACAACACCAATTCCTTTACCATAAGCATTCACAGCTTCATCAAATATCATGCTCCAGCGAGATTCAGGATCACGACCTTCCTCAAGAAATGGTTCATCACAATCTTTCACTTTCAGAAACATCACATCCTCATCAGGGAAATCATACATCACAGACTGATAATCATCAACTGGTTGGTGAGCAAGATAATCTGCCAACACGCTGCTTTTAATAGCTTTTTGAGTGCGGTATTCGATGTCATATTTAGATAACAGCATATGCCAACAGGCAATTCTCCCGAT